AAAGTGACTGGGAGGGAGCGTGTGTTGGGGAAAGGTCAGAGGGAGGGGAAGTAAGAAGGCTAAGAGTTTGGCAATAAGTGTGTGTTATACAAGGAAGCACATGAAGTGATTGAGAAAGGAATCATGCCCCGATGGTGTGGCTCAGTGGTTGAGCGTCAGCCAATGAACCAGGAGGTTATGGTTAGATTCCCGGGCAGGGCACATGCCGGGGCTGCGGGCTCGATCCCCAGTAGGGGGCGTGCAGGAGGCCGCCCATCAATGATTCTCTCTCATCATTGATGTTTCCATCTCTCCCTCTCCCTTCCTCTCTGAAATCAATAAAAATATATATTTTAAAAAGAATAATTAATAATAGTACTTTATGAGCTAGGCACTGTTCTAAGCACTTCACATATATTAATTTCATCCTCAAAAATTCTATAGTTTTGGGCCTTTTGAAGCTAGGTCATCAGAAGCTAGACAGCTTCTGCCCATGCTTCTTTTTGTTTGTTTGTTTTGTTTTGTTTTTAACCCTCACCTGAGAATATTTTTCCATTGGTTTTTATTTTTATTGATTTATTTATTTTTGTTAAATATATATTTTTATAGATTTCAGGGAGAAAGGAAGAGGGAAAGACAGAAAAATATCCATTGGTTGCCTCCTGCACGCCCCCCCACTCCCCCAACCAGGCCCTGCCCTGGGGAGGACCTGCAATGGAAGTACAGGCCCTTGACAGGCATGGAACCCAGCATCAAACCAGGGACCCTTCGGTCTGCAGTTCACACTCTATCCACTGAGCCAAACAGGCTAGGGCTGCTCATGCTTCTCAGAACACTCTGGTAGCCTGAGCTGCCATGTAAGAAGTCTTACTACCCTGAGACTGCCATGGTCTCAGAAATGTGAGGGAAGCTCTCCAGATCAACCCATCTGCCTGTTGAATACTACATGGGACAGAAGAATCACCCGGCTAAGCCCTCCCCCAATTTTTGACCCATAAAATTGTGAGCTATATTAAAATGGTTGCTACTTAACAAAATACAAACAAACCAACATATCATGAGGTAAGTGCTCTCATTCTCATTTTACAGATGAGGAACTGAGGCACAGAGAGGTTACTTTGTACCAGGAACTATACAAGGCATTGAAGATAGAATTATTAACAAAATAGATACAGGCTTCTGGTTTGGTAGAGCTCAAAGACCTCCTGGGAAGTTAGATAATCAAATAATGTTTAAAGTGTGATGAAAGTTATAATGGGGATGTAAAGCTTGCTGTGGGAACTACTAGTTAGGGCCCCTACCTAACTCTAAGGGGTTAAAAGAGCTCTTCTTGTGTGTGACCTTTCGACTGAGATATGAATGATGAGTAAGAGTTAGCCAGGTGAAGATTGGTGCGAGTGAGAGAGGAAGTGTTTCAGGCAGAGGAAAGAAGATATGCAAAGTTGCACTTTAGGAGTGGAGTGGCTGGAGTGTGGAGTTTGTGATGGGGAGTGTGAAAAGTCTAGACCAGGGGTGGGCAAACTTTTTGACTCGAGGGCCACAATGGGTTCTTAAACTGGACCGGAGGGCCGGAACAAAAGCATGGATGGAGTGTTTGTGTGAACTAATATAAATTCAAAGTAAACATCATTACATAAAAGGGTACGGTCTTTTTTTTTTTTTTTTTAGTTTTATTCATTTCAAACGGGCCGGATCCGGCCCGCGAGCCGTAGTTTGCCCACGGCTGGTCTAGACCGTGGTCGGCAAACTGCGGCTCGCGAGCCACATGCGGCTCTTTGGCCCCTTGAGTGTGGCTCTTCCTAAGCCTTAGGAGTACCCTATTTAAGTTAATAACAATGTGCCTACCTATATAGTTTAAGTTTTAAAAATTTGCTCTCAAAAGAAATTTCAATCGTTGTACTGTTGATATTTGGCTCTGTTGACTAATGAGTTTGCCGACCACTAGCTAGGATAAAGGGGAAAAGGTGTTTGTAAATCAGATTGTAAAATGTGGGCTTTACTCTGAGTACAATGAGAAGCCTTTGAAAGGTTAAGTCAAGGGAGTGGCAGGGAATTTTTGTGTTTTAGACGAGTCACTCTGGCGACTGTGCTAGGAATGGAGTGGAAGAGAGCAGAAGCATATGCATGGAAACTAGTTAGGAGGTTATATCATCCAGGCTAAAGAGGGTGGTAGTTGTAGGGATTCAAAAAAGTCCATAGAGCTCTTGCCAGTTTTCTCAGTGGTTAGAGCGTCAGCCCTCGGACTGAAGGGTTCGATTCAGATCAAGGGCACGTACCACAGTTGCAGGCTCCATCCTAGGAGGCAACCAATCGATGCATCTCTCTCACATCTCTCTCTCTCTCTCTCTCTCTCTCTCTCCCCCTCCCTTCCACTCTGTCTAAAAATAAATGGGAAAAATATCCTCGGGTGAGGATTAACAAAAACAATAAAAAATTTAAAAATAATGAAATGCTTTAAAAAAAAAGAAAGTAGGTAGAGTGGAAAGGTTTAGTAATCAATTAAATGTGATTGGTGAGGAAATAAGAGAAATTAAGGTTGGCTGTCAGGTTTCTGGCATGGGCAATTGGGTACACCCTCGATGTGCCTCAACAGATGACAGTATTTCCCCTAGTGAATATCACACTGTACTTAATTGTTATGAGAAGGTAGGGACCATATTTACCATCTTAATTGACAATACCCAGCACACAGTTCCTGTCTGGCAAACATGCTAATAAGCATTCTATAAATACTCACTACATTTAAATTTAACTGAATAGGGGTACTGGAAGAGAAACGAGTTCGTTTAGAACATACTGTGTTTGTGGTACCCGTGAAATACCCAAGTGGGGTTTTTCAGTGGACAGTGGATTAGACTGGAGCTTCAGATAAAGATCTGGAATGAAGATATGGTACTCAGCAGCACATGGAGCTCATTTGAGCTAGAGAGAGTAAGACTACCTGGGGTACACAAAGTGCAAAGGGCACCGGATCTCAGACTACTGGGGTTTAAGGAACAAGCAAAGGAAAGTCCTCCCTTATGCAACAGAGAAGCAAGTGCTGGAAAGGTAAGGAGGACACCCACAGTGTTTCTAGGAGAAAAAAGTAAATTTGTTGGCAGCTGCTGAGATGTCAACAGCATAAGGACTGCCAAGTGTCCATGCAAACTCAGGGGTGACCCTAGTGAAGAGTGACCTTAGAAAGGGGAAGGTGTCAGGAGAGGAAATCAAGATTTTGTGTGTAGGCAGCGCTTTCAAGAAGTCTGATTTTAAAAAGGAAGGGGGCCTAGCTGGTTTGGCTCAGTGGATAGAGCATTGGCCTGTGGACTGAAGAGTCCCCAGTTTGATTCTGGTCCAGAGACACATGCCTGGGTTTCGGGCTCAATCCCCAGTGGGGGGTGTGCAGGAGGCAGCCAATCAATGGTTCTCTCTCATCACTGGTGTTTCTCTCTCTTCCTCTCCCTCTTTGGAATAAATACAAATATATATATATATGAAGAAGTACAGTGGCAACCAGAGAGCACAGTCAAGGGAGGTTTATTTAAAGATGGGGAATACTTGCCTACATTTAAAAGCTGATGAGGGTCTGGCCGGCGTGGCTCAGTGGTTGATCATCAACCTGTGAACCAGGAGTTCACTGATTGTGGGCTTGAACCCCAGTGTGAGGCCTGGGAGAGGCAGGAAGAACTGCAGTCACTATTTTGGGAGTGGGAAGGAAGAGCTGAAGGGTGGGATTCTGCACATTTTGAAAGTGGAGCAAACTAAGGAGGAACGTCACCCAGCACTCGGTACTGGTAAGGCAGCCCTCAGATCACATGTCAGAGGAGGAGAGCTGTCTGTCTGATGTCACCAAGGGGGAGGTACCTCACCTCCACCCCACCTCTCCACAGCCAGACAAAAAGCCTCGCAGAAAGCTTCACCTTGTGCAGTGGAGACACAGAAAGGGAAAGAGGAGGTCAGGTAAGGAGGAAGCACAGGTGTGGGTTCTGAAGCTCTGGCAATGGACAGGGGAGGTCAGTTTCCACCTTCCAGGGAAAAGCTGACATCAGTCTCCCATTCACCCCAACATGCTGTCATAGCATCCTGTGCTAGCTGTCCATAGACCCCGATTCCCTTGTTAATTAATAAATGTGTTGTGTGGTTAGTGGAGATCTGTTTTTAAGCTCTAAGAGGGCAAGGGCTGTGTCTATCTCCTCCCTGCATCTGACCTCCAGTGCCTAACATTGTTCCTTTCACACAGGAGGTGCTCAGCCAATCCTTGCTAAGAGTATGAATGAATGAGCCCACTCACTAAAGTAGGGCCCCACCCAAGAGGCTTAAGTACGGAGGCTTCCCAGCTCCCCAAAACATGTCCTGGATTGGGAGGATGGTGGCGTTTTCACCACTATGTCTAACTGAACCCCTCTGTGTTTCTCCCACCCACTTTCTTGTTCTCTCCAAATTGGTCTTCCTGGCTCTCTGTTTCTCTGTTTCTGTGTCTCTCTGACTCCACACAGGAAGCATGCAGCTTTAGGTCTGAGGTGATCAGTAATGGAAACATTGGTGCCTGTGTACATTTAATAAAGGGTCACAAACTTTGTTATTTTTGTCATTAACTGCTTTCTCTTTGTCTGTGTTCTGTCTCAGACCTGATTCTTTTTTTCTCATCTTCCCGTGTCCAACTCAAGAGTCCCACCACCGTCCAGAACAAGCTTCTTTTGCCCCTGGATCTTCTGATGGGCCCCAGAAGGTACTTGGAGGAAAATCACTGAGGTAGGCCATGTCTGATTTCCTGCCTTGCTGGCCTCACAGCCCTGCTGACCACATCCTCTCTCACCTTACTTATATACTTCCTCACCAGTCACATCACTCAGGAGTTCTCAGCCCCCAAAACCTGTCATTGACCCCCACTCAGGCCCGTAGCTTTACCCTCTTCTCTCACTCCAGGATTCCTGTGCTTGTTTTCCTCTGACTCTGCTCTTAGAACCATGTTGCTCTGCCTAGAAGTAGCCAGTTCTGGCCCTTTCTGGATATCCAACACCCCTTTTTCCCACAGGTGACAGGACTGGCCACAATGCTGTCGGGCCAGTGGTGGCCAAGTACTTGGGGGAACCTAGGCCTGGGGCCCAAAAACACTTCTCAGGGACCCCAGCTCTGTGCCCTATATGCCTTCACTTACACTGCGGCAGATGGCCGGCAGGTATCTATGGCTGAAGGGGACAGGTTCCTACTGATTCGAAAGACCAACTCTGACTGGTGGTTGGCAAGGCGCCTGGGAGCACCATCCACCTCACGACCCATCTTCGTACCAGCTGCCTACATGACAGAGGAGTCTATCTGTTCCCAGAGCCCAGCCACCATCGCCACCAGGCAATCCCGCTGGACTCATGGTGAGTAAACCCTTCCCATCACCTTCTTACCTCCCTGGCTTCAGGGAATTATTGGAAGGGTCCTCCTCCTCCAAGTTTCTGCTGATCCCCTTCTCTTGTTTTCCTGTGACCAGCCTACTCCTTATACCCACCAGGGTGCCCCCATGGCCTCTCTTCCTAGTCTCAAGTCTTCAGGATCTCATTTTATTTTTCAACAACAGCCTCTCCCTGCTCTTGTCTTCCCTGTGAACCCCCAGCCAAGATCAGGCCTCTGATCACCTGCCCCCTGCTCTCCCCATTTCTGTTTCCAGGGCCGGAGTTGTTTCCTGGCTCACTGGAGGCGCTGCCCCCATCCCAGGCAACCACAGGCAGAGCCCAGTCTACTTCGCAGCAGCCTCCTTCTCTTCCCCCCAAAATCTACAGAAGTGTCAGTGTTACCAATCTGAGGCCCACTCTCCTGAAGCCCTCCCAGGATGGACAAAGTGGAAGATCTCTCTCCCGGGAAGACTTGCTGACAGAGGCCAATGCCAATGTGGTGAGTCACAGCTCTCCATCTGAGCAGCTGCGATCAACAGATATTTATTGCTGAGCCCTGTTCTAGGCACAGTGGCTAACAGGACAGACTCAGCTTTCAAGGGTTCCCATGACTGACAACTCTCATAAACAAATATGTGTTGGTCCTAATAAGTGCTTCCGGGAAGATAAATATGGTGGAGAGGGCCTGACCTGGCCTAGGAAGGCATCTCTGAATAGATGATGTTTAGTTGAATCTGAATAAGGAGAAGTCAGAGACAGCCTGGATGCAAACGAGGAGATGAGAAAGAATTCTAGCTGAGGGACAGGACAGCAAGAAGCAAAGATCCGGAGGGTACATGGAACCTGGCAGATGATAGAGGGACTGAGAGAAAGCCAACCTCAGCGGTGCTTTCTCTCTCTTCCTCCTACTCCTGGCCCAAGGCAGGGTTTGTCCTGTGTCAGGTCTTGTCACCTCTAGAGATGGAACTCCTTTGCTCTTCCTGAAGACTCAGCCCCTCCCCTCTCGTAGTTACTAGTGGTTGAAAAATGGCCCCTCCTTTCCCATACCCCCTCCTCTCAGTCTCCTTTTACTTGGGAGGATGTGAGGGTGGGGAGCTCCCCTCAACCCCCCCCCCCCCTCCAACACACACACGCCTGTTCCCCTTTCCTGCGGCCCTGGGCTGGGGGTGGGGTGGGGGAGGAGGGAAGTTGGCAACAGGAAGTGAGGAGAAGAGCATAGAAGACTGTGAGGGAGGGAGAAAAAGAAAAAAAAAAAACACAGCCGGGGACCAGGTTTCTCCCTCAGTACCTGGGTAACCCCAGCCAGGATCTGGTGGTGAGAAAATGGTGGGGGAGAGTGGGAGGTAGTTAGGTGGAGAGGCATTTGGGGAGAATACCTACCCCTTTCTCCCCCCTTTCCTGGCAGGCTGGACCCCAGCTCCCCATGTCAGAGCCCCCTGTGTACTGTAACTTAGTGGACCTTCGCCGCTGTCTCCAGTCCCCACCCCCAAGCCCTGCGTGTGCCCCGCTGCAGAGGCTGGACGCCTGGGAGCAGCACCTGGACCCCAACTCCGGACGCTGCTTCTACAGAAACTCGCTGACTGGCTGCAAGTCCTGGAAGCCTCCACGCCGCACCCGAACCCAAGAGACGGTGAGACCTTCCCTCCGGCTCATCTCTTTGTCCCTTCAATCCCCTCCTCTCCCCACTGTGTCCCAAAGTAGTGTGTTTGCTTCCTGGGGCTCGCAGAAGTCCAAGAGAATCAGAAAATTGTGAGAAGGGTGTTGAGAGCGGGTTGAGGGGGCATCTGGCCGTAGCTTTACCTCCTCTCCCCCCCCCCCACCCCCCAGAACCCTGGCTCCATGGAGGGAACACAGACCCTGAATAGGGACAACGGTGTCCTGCAACCTCAGGCAAAGGGCTCAGACTCGGACACGGGGTCCCCAGAACTGCTCAACCCCCAGGTGAGACCCCTTCCTCCTCCAGTTTACCCGCAGGAAAAGCCATCTTTTCACCACTTTGTCTTTTATGCAAGACATTCTTCTTTCTCGCTCTCCGGCCACCCACACCCGCACTCCTCTTCCTCCGCAGCTAGGGACCTCCAAGCTAGCGTTTGCTCCACCTGTTTTTCTCCAACCCCCCGCCCCAGGGTTCACCCTGCCTCCCCCGCCGGACCTCCCAGCTCAACCCCCCCGACCAGCCTGCAGCCCGGCAGCCCCTGCGGCCTCTGCCGCAGGTCCTGGACGACCCTCACGTAAGTTTCCCCTTTTCGCGTGCATGCATGCAAGATCCTCCCAGCCCCACCCCCCAATTCCCGCTCCTCCGAAGCGTCTTCCTCTTTCTGACTGTTCTCTGGGTAGCCTCCCTCACCCAGCCCCCCTCGAGACTTGAAGCTGAGGTTCTGCGAGGGGCTCTGGGTGACTTACTGGTACCCCCCCGCCCCATGTCCCAGGAGGTGGAAAAGTCGGGCCAGCTCAACGTGACTAAGATTGCTCAGGGGGGACGCAAGCTCAGGTGAGGAGAGCGGGGGACACGCAGGGGCGCGGCTGTCGGACTCCGCGCGTGGGGTGGAGCAGCGCGTTGGGTGGAGCAGCGCGGGGAGAGCGCCCTCCCCTCTGATTCCAAATGGCCTCTGCGCGGCTCCTGCCCCTCTGCCCCGGCAGGAAGAACTGGTGCCCATCGTGGGTGGTGTTAGCGGGGAACAGCCTGATGTTCTACCGGGAGCCCCCCCGGGCGGCACCCTCCTCTGCAGTCTGGGTGAGTGAGGGCGGGCAGGGCCCGTGCCGGGGGTGGGGAGGGAGGGAAGGCGTTAGGAAGCGGCGCCACCTGCCAGGTCCAGGCGGTCCCCCCGGGGAGAGGGGGACAGCGAGGGAGACCGCACCGCGGCCTCAGTTTCTCCTCTGATTCCCAGGGACCAGCGGGCAGCCGACCCGAGAGCAGCGTGGACCTTCGTGGGGCGGCCCTGGCCCACGGCCGACACTTGTCCAGCCGCCGCAACGTCCTGCACGTGAGTGCCCCTCGAGCGCCCTCAAAGCCTCCTCCGACCCGAGGGTGCGCCCCCAGTTTCCCGCGTGAGGCTCCCTCTGGGCCTCCCCGCTCTGTACGCTCCCCCCGACCCACGCCTTTCCCCCTTTCCCCCGCCGGCGCCCCAGATCCGCACGGTCCCGGGCCACGAATTCCTGCTGCAGTCAGACCTCGAGGCCGAGCTGCGAGCCTGGCACCACGCGCTGCGGGCGGTCATCGAGCGCCTGGTGAGAGGGGCAGGAGGGGCGGGGCGGAGGCAGTGGGGGAGGACCCGTAGGGCGTGGGGGTAATGGGGGGCAGGATGGTCTCAGTGCAGAGCCCTGGGGTGGGGCTGGGACGTGGGACCCCAGCAGCCAATTAGGGTCTCCTTGCTTCGAGCTGGGGGTGCAGATTTCTCTCCTCTCTTCCAATCTCCTACTCGGCCCACCTCACCCGCCTGGATCCAGGATCGGGAGAACCCAGTGGAGCTGCGCCTGTCAGGCTCGGGACCGGCGGAGCTGGGGGAGCTGAGCGCCGGGGAGGACGAGGAAGAGGAGTCGGAGCCGGTGCCCAAGCCACTGCTTCGTTTCGGCGGCCGCCGGAGCTCCAGTGAGAGGCCGGCCTGGGGGGCTATTTCCAGGTTCCTCCTCCCGCCAGCTGTGCTCACACTCCGGTTCCCGGCCTCCCACAGGTCGCTGCCCGGATGGAACTGAGCAGAACCGCGTGCGAAACAAACTGAAGCGGCTCATCGCTAAGAGACCGCCCTTGCAAAGCCTGCAGGAGCGGGGTCTGCTCCGAGGTGAGGGGGGCTGGCCCAGCGGGTGCCTTTCTCCTTCGTGCCTCCAGGAGTGTCTTTACGTTCCTGATCTGGGCATCAGCCCATTTCATGGATGAGAAAACTTCAGTGAGGCTCCGAGTAGAATTTCTCTTCAGAGACGGTTGCTTTTCCCACTCCTGCTGACTTTTGGGAGGTGGGTGTACCTGCTTGTATAGACCCAGAACAGGCAGCCAGGAGGGCCAGCCCAACTTTGGAGTGAAGGCCTGTGCCGAGCAGAGCTTCCCTGGGTGGCACTGCCACCTCATCCTGTGTCTCCCCAGACCAGGTGTTCGGCTGCCAGTTGGAATCCCTGTGCCAGCGGGAAGGAGACACTGTGCCCAGCTTTGTGCGGCGCTGCGTTGCTGCTGTAGATAAGAGAGGTGATTTTCCCAGAGACCCCGGGTCTACCCTTCCAGCAGGCCAAGGCCTGGGATCTCTCACCTCCCTCACTCTTCCTTTTAACCTTTTCCCTTCCATCCTTGGTTCCCTCGCCAGACCTCATCACACACATTAGGGCAGGAATCCTTATCTCCTTTTTCCTTGCCTCATCTCCTAGGTCTAGATGTGGATGGCATTTACCGGGTGAGCGGGAACTTGGCAGTGGTCCAGAAACTTCGCTTCCTGGTGGACAGAGGTGAGAAGGCCTGTGGGCAAGTGGTGGTACTAAGAACTTCGTGTCTCAGAACCACAGGCGGTTCCGAGGGAGCGAGCTGGCAGGCAGGGAGGTCTTCCGGCTGGAACTGCACGTCTTAGCTCTTTATCTCTTCTCATACATGTTGCAGAGCGGGCGGTCACCTCCGATGGGAGGTACGTGTTCCCAGAGCAACCAGGACAAGGTACTTATATGAAAGGCCCCTTAGACCCTTAAAAATCCCCCACATCCTCCTTTCTCCTATGATTCCCCATGTCCTGCTCCTGGGAGGGTTGTCCCCATCCCTACCTCTGCTATCCTGCCCTACTGTAGACACCCCAGGCCAAGCATGTCAAACTCAAAGGCTAACACGGGCCAAGTAAATGAGACATGTGGCCCGTGGGCCGAGAGTCTGACATGCTTGCCCTAGGCTTTCCTATGTCTGCCTCAGCTGGATCTTCTCCCAAACTCCTGATCTCTCCGTCTCTGGGTCCCTCTGGCCCTTCATGAGCTCTGAACCCTTCTATATACCTCCTTCTTCTTCCAGAAGGCCAGTTAGATTTCGACAGTGCCGAGTGGGATGACATTCACGTGGTCACTGGAGCCCTGAAGCTTTTTCTCAGGGAGCTGCCCCAGCCTCTGGTACCCCCACTGCTGCTGCCCCATTTTCGTGCTGCTCTTGGTAAGGCATGGGAGCTTTGGGCAATACCAAAAGTAGAAGTTCTCTTACCCTCATCTGTCTCATCCTGAACACAGAGATGGAAAGTAACTTTCAACACATGTGCCAACCCCAGTTGTTGGTTTGTTGTGTGTGTGTGTGTGTGTGTGTGTGTGTGTGTGTGTGTTTAGAGTGCTGAGTTGAAAAGATTTCTAAGGCTGCAGTTGGGCTCAGAGAAAAAGGAAGCTGCTATGCATAAATGATGTCTTCCGGGGGCCTGGGAAAGAGTAGTAAGTTACCCACCCTGCACTAGCACCTTCCCTAAGTTCACCCCCGTGCCCTTCCCATGACTCTTTCTCTATAGAGCTCTCGGATTCAGAACAGCGCCTCTCTCAAATAAGAGAATTAATAGCCTCAATGCCGAAGCCCAACCATGACACTCTGTACCACCTCCTGGAGCATTTATGCAGGTCGGGAAAACCGAACATCTTGTTCAGTCAGGGAGAGGGTGGGGTGGCGCATGCAGCAGGGACTTTGTTCGAATGGGGTGAAGGTAGGGAAATACCCAAGTTTAGAGCAGATGGATGAGACAGGCAACTTTTGTGCAGGGGTCATATTCTGAGGGTTAAAACCTTTGGTCAGCATCAAATGGGGGAAATGGGGACCAAGATAAGCACAGTGATGCTGTGTGAGAAGGAAGGGAAATCTAACCTCTCCCTTCCCGCTGCCCCTTGCTTCCCATTGGAACAGTGGTGATGGCTTATTTGGCTGAGCTGGGCCTGGGCAGTGACTTCTGAGAGAGGACAGCCATTAGAGGACTCTAGGTGCAGTCTCTGACGCTGGGAAGGGGTGGTTGTATCCTGGCTTGTATCTTCAAGTTGTATCTTGAAGGTTTCCCCACTGGTCCTATCTCATCCCCCTTGAGGCTCGCTCTCCTTGGTTTCCTTTGGCCCCTACGTGGAGGGATCCCAGAGTGAACTCTTCCCTGCTCAAATCTTTGAAGGGTTAGGTTTCTTTGAAGTGGCAAAGCTGCCTCCTTATAGCCCCTTCTCTTGGCCTTTGCCCACAGGGTGATAGCACACTCAGATAAGAACCGCATGACCCCCCACAATCTGGGAATTGTGTTTGGACCAACCCTGTTTCGGCCGGAGCAGGAGATATCTGACCCAGCAGCCCATGCTTTCTACCCTGGGCAGCTAGTCCAGTTGATGCTCACAGACTTCACCAGCCTCTTCTCCTGACGGGGGCACGGAAGAAGAGAAAATGTGTTTCCGGTGGTACCCTTTGGTGTTGTGGTGTGTTCTGAGGACATCCCTTTAAATCCCGTGTCTCCCAGATGACTGTCTCCATCTTTGTGAGTCTGACCTGGGGGGTTGGGATGTGGTGAGATAGCTTCTCTAAAGAGGAAAGTGGGAATTAACCCCTGCTTCTCTTCTTGGTCACTGTCATCACCCCTCCGCAAGATAATAGCACATAAAGCAGGGCTTTTTCTGATGCAGTTCCTTTATTAAGAAACAGTGTCATTATCAAATTCCTCCCCCCAATATATACAGATTTTATACAGCCCCTAACCCCTACTCGTATCCCTGGGGCATCCCACGGGGCTATGGCTCCTTCTCCTGACTTCTCTGCGGGGACGGACACCCCTTAGGAAATGTGGATCTGTGATGGGTGGGATTCCACACTTTAGGCACTAGAATTGAGGAATTGTGTCTCACCAGGCAGGGACCCCAGTAAGACACTCATGCTGCCCACAGCCATGTTGGGGGCTCCTGAGGGAGGTGCAGTGTGATCAGAGCTGCCCCCCTGCTCATGGGAAGGGGGAGGACTCAGCCCCTGAGCCTCATCCAGAATAGCCACAAAGTCCAGCTGAGTGTTGTCAAGATCAAGAGAGTCCAGGGGGTTACACACCTGTCCTTCAGGAGGAGGGTATAAAGCAGGGCCCCCTCCCAACCTGCCCACCTCAGGGTGCCCACAGCTGGGGTTGGTGCCCCCTGCCTTTAGGGGCCCATAGCAAGTGGGCAATGGGGGCAGAAGTCGGGGTGGTGCTGCTGCTCTATGGGAAGCTTTAGTTCCCCCCACTGCAAAGTTTTCATGGCATGGAGAAGGGGTAGAATAGGAGCCTGACTTGTGATTGGGCAAGTTAGGAGGAAAGCCAGGTCCATATGTGGCCATGGGGGCCTTGGCAGGGCTTGGGCTAACCTGGGACCCTCCCAGAAACTTGGGACTCTGGTAGAGAGGTTCCTGGACTGGGGGATCTCCCCTGCCCCCACCCTCCCACAGCAGCTCCTGTTGAGACTGAACATAATTACACACAAGCTGAGCCTTGAGCTGTCCTGTGGAATGAGTGGGATGATCAAAATCCGGGCCAGGCCTGGATTCTGAAGGAAGATAATCAGGGGGTGGCTGGGGATAGGGGCCTGATGGCGGATATTGGGGAGGGGGAGGCTGGGGGTAGTGGGAGAACAGAGGCTGTGGGCATGGAGGCCCCTCACTGGGGTGGACATTGAGGCAGGGTGCCGGTCCTGTGGAGTCAGAACCCATTGGACACCCCTGTTCCGGCTTGACTTGCACATGTCCGTAATGTTCAAGACGAGGACACTGGCTGTAGGCTCCAGCTGGAGGCTTGGTGCCTGGGTACAGCCCAGAGTGGGCAGGGAACTCACCCCATGTTTCTGGGGTGGGGTCAGGATAGGAGACCTGCTGGGGACAGGGATTGTGGTTGTAGTTGGTGGGTGGACCAGGTCCAAGAGGCAGGGAGCCCGGACCTCTAGCTCCATAAGGCTCAGCGGCTGTTCCCTCAGGTCCCCTGTAACCCAGAGGATCAGCAGGTGGGAAGTCCATATAGGGGTTCAGGCCACTGTCCATCATGGAGGTCCCAACCTCTGGCTCCTCCCGTAGCCCTCTGGTATCCACAGCGACATTCTCAGTGATGCTGGGGGGCTGTGGTGAGTAGACAGAGGTTGGGAGTTGGGGATCAAAGTTCCGTCCTCCCCCTGCCACGGTAGGGTATGTGTGAACACAACCCAAGCTCTTGAACCGCTGGACCCTGGCTGGGGCCGGGTGGTCAGCAGCCCGGGCTGGGTCACTGGCCCTCCGGGTGACCCCTGCATTGGGGTTGTATCCAGGATACTCAGCTCGGCTTCTCCAGGGAGGTCCAGGGAGACCCCCCATCCGATCTAGGCTGGATGCTGCAGTGGGTGGGGTACCACCTCCTCTGGCTGAAGCATATCTTGTCCGGAACAGGTAGTGCTGGGCAGGGGTGAGGCCAGGCAGAGAGGATGCCCCGTTCTCTGGCGGGGAGCCAGGGGGAAAAGGAGAGGCCAGGGAGGAGCGGCGGCTGACAGTGTAGGCTGAGCTGACGCTGCTGGAGCTGCTGCTGCGGCGGTCAAGAGAAACTGGGGGGCCCAGACGGCGGGACACAGGGGTGCCTGCAAGTATAGGGAGAAAAGGCAGGGTGGTCAGGAAGCCCCCTGAATCTCACCTGCCTGCCCCATGGGACAGCCTTGTGCTGGAATCCCAGGGAAAGGCTCCTGAACTCTAACCACTCAGTTCTGTCTCCCCTGTCTCCCATGCCCCTTCTAGAATCTTCTGTGTCACCAGGGGTTCCAGGCTGCTGTGAACAGTTATACAGGTTGTACCTGGTACACTGCACAGTTCTAGGGGACAGCATTCACCTCCCAGACTGTGTATATCACAGCAATTTTCTGATGGAAGGAAAGTGTCTTAAGCAAGGGGGGCCTTGTTCTAGGGTACAAAGCTATACTGAAGCTCTGAAGGGTGAAGTCCTCCCTCCAACCTCAAGGAAGGTCCAGATCTCAGCCCGGCAACCACCCACTCCACCCAGGTCTCACCAGTGTGGGTCAAGCTGGGCAGTTTGAGGCCCCGGGGACCTATTGGCCGGAGTTGATGTAGCTGGTCCAGCCTGAGGTTTTCAAGGCGGCGAAGAGTGGACAGACCGGTGCCAGCAATGCAAGGCCCCTCGTCCAAGCTGGACAGGTCCTCAGTGCTGCCCCCTGTGTTTCCAGTCATTTCCACACCACTGTCCGTGTTCGCCGCGCTGCCTGCTGGGGAGTGGTCACTGCTGCAGGACGACTGGGCCCCAGGACTTGGCTGTGGCTTCTGTGGGGAAGATGAGGGCTGAGGGTGGCACCCTTCCCCCTTTCCCTGAAGTTGGGGAGTGGCTACAAGCCTGTGTCCCAGTGGCTGCTCGGGTTGAGGGGAGGCTTACAGGTGTAGAGAGGGCTGAGCTGGGGAGGGACGGGGCAAAGTAGGAGCGATGTGGATGAGCAGAGCCGAGGCTGGAGCACGGATCACCTGGGCTCAAATTCATCCTCTTAGTTCTATGACCTTGGGAAATTTCTCTATGCCTGAATTTCCTCATCTGAAATGGGGAAAATAAGTTCCTTTCTCGTGAAGTTGTGAGGTGTACCTGAAATTATACAGGTAAAGGGCTTGGAATAATTACACGAAAATCCCTAGGTTTGAGCTAGTCCAAGGAGCCACACGGGGACAACTAGAGGACTGGCCAAGGAAGAGTGAGAGGATGGGATGGGCGAGCTGGGACGATGTCAGCAAGGCGGTGTGGAGGGGGGTATGGAGGCGGAGGCCTGTCCGGGCGTCTCACCATGGCACCCTCTGGCACAGTCAGTCTACTCTCCTCCCTGACGGGGCCGCCATCCCGCTCCCTCTTGGGCTCCACTGTGGAAAGGGATGGTGCCCGCGGCAGGGGGCCGTCCCCTCGGTGCCGCTTGGTCACGTGGGCGTCAGGGCCGTGCACCGTCTTAACATGTTTCCGGAGCGAGCTGGGATCCGTGTAGCGTTTGGTGCAGCCAGGGAGCTTACACACATATGGCTTCTGTTGAGTGGAAAATGAAGACAGCAGACAAAGGTGTGAAAGTGGAAGAATGCAGAAGGAATGCAAAAAATTGGTGGCGTCAAGTGAGGACGAGGGGCAAGGGGTTACGCACAGCACTCAAGGAAGGACGGAGAGTGGGGCCCATGGAGCAAAAAAATGAGAGGATGGGGCAGAGATCAGGAAAACTGACAGTCCGGGCCTGGGAAAGGTGAAGGGTGAACCCAGGTCTGTGAAGCCTCATAAACTCAGGGGTTAAGGGATCAGGGGTCTCCTTTAGTTAGGATGGGTCTTTTTCAAATTCGCCCTTCGGCTGGTTAGAAGTGGGGGGTAGGGTGGTAAGAGGAAATTCTTGGTTTCAGAAAGGCCCTCTCCAGGTGAATTATACAGGTGGGGAGAACTCACCTCTGTGGAGTGGGTGCTGGGCTAAGGGATTTCTTAAGGGGGAATCTCCCCGATAGGTGGCTTCTCAGGTGGGGAGGGTCTCTTGGGTGGGGCACTCACCTCGTTGGAGTGGGTCCGATTCTGGTGCTTGGCCCGGTCACTGGCATTGCTGAAGGCTTTGCTGCAGCCCTCGTGCTCACACATGTATGGCTTCTCACCCGTGTGCGACCGCAGGTGTGTCTTCAGATTTTCGAGGCGTGAGTATGACTTCCGGCACCCCTCAAACTGGGGGATAGAAGGGTCAAAGGATAGCGCTCAGACAGAAGGACATGGGATTAGAGGAGCCCTGAAACTCAAATGGGACATACGTCAGAGACTATAATTTAAGATGGGAGAGCACTGGGGCTCAGGAGAATCCCCATCAGGAGGGGAAGAGGGCAGACAAAAGCTGGGGCAGCAAGCAGCTGGAGGCACTCTGCCTGCAGGGACATGGAGCTGAGGCCAGAGCATCTGGTCTCCCTGCATGGGGATCTTGCACTGTTTTGGGGTGGGGTGATCTGGGAGTGTCTTCTGTCCTCCATGAAGGGTTTCCAGTTAGGCAGAGTGGAAGGCACATTGCCTAGGGCCCACAGTGCTTTCAAGGGTCCCACAGAATTGTTTTAATTTCTTTGAGAAGCAAGGGGAAATTAGCTTTTAAATCCAAGAAAGTGTTCCAATATATAATATCAGTATGTTTATCGTCATACCAACAGTCATGAAACACACATTTTTAATATCTGTTTATGGAGGAAGGGGCCCATGTGGGCAGCCCCAGTTTAAGGAGGACCCTGAGCCTGGGGAGAGGGAGCCTCACCGTGCACTTGTGTGGCTTCTCGCCCGTGTGTCTGCGCATGTGGACCACCAGCATGTACTGGGCTTTGAAGGGCCTCAGCTCCCTGGAGCAGCCCCCCCAGTGGCACACGAACTCCTTCCGCTCCCCATGGATGTGCTCGCTGTTGATGTGCTGAGGGAGGAGGTGCAGAGGCTCTCTGAGGTTCTCCTATGCCTAGAGACCCAGACCTCCTTCCCTTGACCTTCCCACCACACCATATTCCTCTA